GTGGAATCACAATACTTGTATTACTCATTAACATTACTTCTACTTGTGATCACTCCTCAGTGGAGTAAATCATATCTAATGTTTGAACTGTTCTTATTTTCCTTGTGGTAAAGATGATTGAACCCAGGATCCTTACACTGAGTTATATCCTCAGTCCATTCTTATTTTTTATTTAGAGACAAGGTCTTGTTGCCTGGGCTGGATTTGAGTTTGTGATCCTTGTGACTCAGTTTACCAGGCTTGTGCCACTACACCTGGTTGGTTTATGGCTCATTCTTATTGCCTTTCCATAGGATTGGTGAATATAAGGAATAACAAATAAGGTCACTAGTCTAACATTCTAAAATAAGGTTTGGCAAACTCTTTGTATAAGGCCAGACAGTAAATATTTTAGATTTTGTGGATCAAGAAGTCAAGTCAAGTGTACTATCTAGGTATTTAAACAAGAATCAAAAGAAACATTGTCTTATTGATGAAGTTAAAATGATAAAACTGAGTAAAGTTTTTAGCAATACAGATCTAGTAATACATAGGAAAAAATTCTATTTCACTGTATTTGGAATAACACTTGATGTACATGGGATCCAATGTGACTGTTCCCTGTCATCAAACTGCATGAAGACATTTTCAGATGTGAGTGACACACTTTGCCAGTTCTTGCTCTGGGGTAGAGAGGCAAAAGAAGTATGATTTTAAAATCTGTTACTGAGCAAATGTCTTTCCTTTACTGGTAACAATGTAAGCTAATAGAAATGGGTTCTCTCCACCAGCAAGATGGGATAATGGAAAGAACATCAGACTCTTGAGTTAACAACTTAGTAATCTAAGTTTGTTATTGCCATGAATTGTAAACCTTGGACAAATCAAATTTTGCTCTCACTGTCCTCCTCTAGTCCCTTGGAACTTTTCAAATAAAACAAACACTATGATATTTTAAAATAACTTGTTCCTCTTGCAGACCTCACTACTGACAGCTCCTTAGGGTGATGATACTTTCAACACGACACCATCAGCTGAAGAAATGTGGCTTGGTACAGAAAAAAAAGGATTAACCTTTATGAAGTTCATCAATCAGTTAACACAGACCCAGATGAATTCATTGAAACATCCAATAACTTAAGTCTCTTGATAAGTGCTCATTTCTCCGCTCCACACTAAATCATCAATTCCTAACTCAGTTTTATGTCTGACACACTTTGTAGGGTATTTGCAAATTCAGCTATAAAACAGATGTTACTTGGTAATTTTAAATCAGTAATTTTTTTAAATAATGTCATCAATATAACCTAATAAAGCTTATTTTTAGAATTGAAAAGTGTTATAGACAACAGACTTATGAATTAGTCCAACAGTTAGTAAAGCAATATTCAAAAACTCTTCCTGGTACATGCTTGATCAAACAAGTAGAAGTAATTCTGCATTCTGCATCTCTGTACAGTTTCACAGTACATATCAGTATGTTAAAGTATATTACATATGGAATGCAATCTCTTTTTATCCAGCATTTCCAAAATCTACCTGTTGTTATAAAGTTGTTTTGTAGCTCGGCTCTACTATCCTACAGAACTAGTATTCAAGTTAGAGCACATGTTTAAATTAGATCATTTTATATGTAAATGCCTCAAGTCTTACTATAAGTCACTTTAACAGCTATAATTTTAATATTACATCCAAAAAAGTTTTGGACTTCAATTTTAACTTTTTAATTGTTACTATTTATTGTATTTTTCCCTTTCAGATGAGCCCAAGCAACAATCTTATATCCCTCTTATGATGACAGTATTAACACTATGCCATCTGAGAGGAAGTTTTGTTGCTATCCCAACAAGCTTCTTTCCTGGGGCAGTTATAAGAAATATACAGGCTCTGGAATACAGCCCTGTATTATAAGTGCGTGCCTGGAAAGCACAAGGTCCTCAGTTCAATTCCTGGTACCACAAAACAAAAACAAAAACAAAAACAAAAACAAACAAACAAAAAA